TTTCATAGATCTCCTTTCTAAGTTTACCCTAGACACTTGTCTAACGTGAGCTAACTTACAGTAAAGCTGAAATTCAATCAAAACAGCTAAACACAAAGATGTATTACTTAGAAAGTTGCTGTTTGTCATGGCAGGAGATTTTCTCAAGTAAAAATTTCCCTAGTCTTTGGCCAGATAGTAAAAAAAAAAGAAACAGCAGAAAGATGAGTTCCCCTCTCTATCATTTTTTTCTACCATGTTTTGTATTATCACATGAACACTGCACCTCCATGTGCTGATTTTCCCTTTCCAGTCTGCAGTGCATGGGAATTCAAGAGCCTGACACAAAGTAAAATTCAGATACTAACACTTCAAAAATACATTTAAGCATGTATTAATGCCTAAAGTACCGCATTAGTTTATTTCTTTCTGGGATACAGCTGTAAGAGACATCTGATGTAATATTGTTGCATCCTTCTACTTCTCATGATCTGGGTATAGAAGCCATTGGGTTACTTTTTTAGGGAATTCTGCAATACTAGCTTTGCATGAAGATTTTTTATTACACATAACATAACACATAATTATATATATATATGAGAAAGTGAAGCAAAAAATATTTGTTGGTTATGTGAGAGGAGTATATCTATTATAAACCTCATCCACATTTATGGAAAGAGATATACAGTTAGGTCAATATATGTCACGGATCGCAAGATCGCCGCCACCAACATGCAAAAATCTCATGATTGCGACGTCCAATATGTCACGATCGCGGCATCAGGCCCCAGACCTTCTCACTGAACTCGTGACTGAAGGACTGGGCGATCTAAACCGCGATGTGACGTGCGTAACAATGCCACACCCAGCTGCACCCTGCACAACGATTTTCCAGCTAATGGACCACAATCTATGTACCGGCAGCCTGAATGCGCTTGTTTACTGGGTCAGGTTAATTACGCAATTAACCCCTTCACACTGCCACCACCTCCTTTTTGATCAGAGAAAGAGGAAACTCGCAATATCACTATAACACTATAATAATTGAAATAATCATCTGCATAACCCGGACATTGACACAGGCCGGTTGTGCAGAGAGTTAAACAAACAGTAGCATCTCTTTAAAGGCAGGGATTCATAAATTGCAATTAAGAACTATAGAAACAGTTCAACACTTTCAGAAAGAGAGATTAATTACTAAAGGGGTCAAACAGGTGCAATAAAAATATTTCCAGAGAAGATGTAACTAAGATATATATATATATATATATATATATATATATAGATATATAGATATATACATATACAGGAAACAGCATAGCACAGCAAAGAGATAACAGAGAGAAGTTAAAGGGTTAAGTTACTTGCCAGTAAGCCTTTGATGTAAGCAGATCCAAGTTTTTTAGAGCAGAATGGTGCTTTGATCTCCCGCTGTTACGATGGAAAAATGGGAGATGTCTTCAATTCTCCTTTCTTAGGCCTGACAGCCAGTTTTAAAGTTTTCCGGCAGGGGGTGGTCCTGAAGTAACAAACCAATCCCTTGTGCAGGGAAGGGTCGGCAGACGGGACCCTAAACTGGGGCCAACATCTTTCAGAATTCATATTCTGTTCCATAACGTTCCAGCTGTACAAGGGACAGTCTACCCGCGGGTATTTTATTATGCAGATAAGCCTGAGGATTATTTAGATATGAATTATGAAATTAAATGTGGCATGGTTCGTGAGTTCTATGTTCTGGCTTCCCTGATGGCCCGAGATAAATGAGAGACCCATAAAACTGTTCGTCTGCTCATTGGCCATCTGACAAGGGGTCCGGTTTTTATGTAGGTCTCTCATATTCCAAGATATGAGACATAGAGGAAAAATTGATTTGAGAAGTGTTCATCTAATTCTGTTACCTATGCTGAGTTACGTTTATTAGCCCAGAGTCCCTTTCAACTCCTGGGAAGGCTCTGTTATCTTTTCACGAGGTGTGAAATTACACATGTTCTCCAGGCAGTGGGGCACCATGTGGCTCCCTGCTGGGATCTGGCCTGTTACACTTTTATCACACACACATCTGTCACTGTGCCTTTCAGGAAGGGAGGGGGAACGAGAATGAGGGAATAACATATATCAGGAGGGTTAATTCCTCCGCCAAGATGGAGTTTGAAGCCAAAATGGTTGAACCGCGTCCATCTCTGATGTGCACATTTGCGACAATATATATTTGGTATCAGGCACAATTTTAGTTTTTTTGTCCAGGTATTTACCAGAGCATATTTAAGCTATAGTTATATAATGGATAAGGGCTGAAAGTGCACACTCTCGGGTTTAATTTGAGGGTATGTACATCCAAATTGGAGGAGGGGTTTAGCAATTACAGCTCTTAAGAGTAGCCATCCACCCTTTTTCAAGGGACCAAAAGTAATTGGACAATTGAATCAAAAGGTGTTTCATGGCCAGGTAATTCATCAATTTAGCAAGTAAAGGGTCTGGAGTTGATTCTAAATCAGTATTTACATTTGGAATCTATTGTTGTGAACCTACATCATACATTCAAAGGAGCATTTTTAATATTTTGTTGAGAATCCTTTACTGGCAATGACTGCCTGAAGTCTGGAAACCACCGACATTACCAAAGACTGGGTTTCCTCCTTTCTGATGCTTTGCCAGGCTCCCCCAATGGGGATTAAATACCACCAAAAGAAAGCTTTATTTGTGTGAAACAAAATTATAAAAATGTATTTTGAGTACAGTATTGCGGTGTGACAGTGCTGAAAGCTCAAAATTGGCTGGAGCAGAAAGGGGTTGAAGGTGCCCAATATTGAATTGGTTAATAACATACAAAAGAGAGAGAATATTAAGTAGTTTTGCACAAATTTACATTTATTAACAGTAGCCTCCCACTCTTCTCTCAACCAATCAGTTTAGAATTGGCAATTGTTGTAAATATTCCCCCAGTACGATTTCATTTATGTGCATATGAGCATGCAGGGAAATATAAAGCTTACAAAGCAACTCAAAATCACAATATAAGAATGTCTTAACTATGGCACATGTTTAACTGGTTCCTGAACTAAGTGCTGCATATTCTATGGAGCTAAGCTTTCAAAACAGTTTGCTGTTAATTATTTAACAACATAGCGAACAGGTATGGTTAATGTCCAGCTTTGGATGCACATACTGTACATCTCTTCACAAATAGCAAATCAAAAACAGAGAAAGGAAATGCATAGGTCTGGCACAGCAAAATAGTACACATTCACAGATTCCTATAGGATAGGGTGCTTGGTACACAGCCTCCACTTATTAGGGAGTACAGCTAGCACCACAGTCAGAGGTGCTGCAGGACAACAGCTCAATCCTTTCTCCTCCACCACCATTTTTGGCCGTCATCCAGCAGCACCACTTGCCCCGGTGCTGGCTGTTATCTCTTGTCAGTGGTGGCTGGCTACAAAGCAATGTACCCTGTGGTGAGTGCATATTGTTATTGTTTTTACATGTAAAAACATTTATGTTACTGCTCCAGTGTGCATCCCCGTCTATGTTTTCTGTTTTCAAATTCTTCATATTACCTTGTGTGGTATGGGGGAGCGGCAAGTTGTTCTGTGAACAAAACAAAGATTGCATGCACCTTCGGACAGTTCATGGAGGATAGGGTCTAGGATACCACAGATGATATTTTTATGTGACAAACAACAAATCCCTGCTCTAATATGTCTACACTGAGGGTAAAAAAGCTGCATCCTTTCTTAGGAAAACCAGAGCTAGGAATGGAGCCACTATGGGCTATGACCCAATGCAATCAAGATCAATCCTTGTATGCACGTGAACATCAAAACTTCATATATGGTATCAGAATGCTTTCTCATTTAGGAACCATACAGCATAAGAATGTCACACTTTCCTTTAGCCTGAAAGTATTCCAGTTGCAGCTCATATTCCCAGGGGCTGTTTATTTGGATCCTGCAGCCTTTTTATAAGAAGAGCAGTTAGCATTCAGGCTTAACTGAGTCATGGATATGGGCTGCATAAATTGTAAGTTACCACTTCATATGACCAGGCAGCTTGATTAATTATCATGACAAACGTGTGCATTATTCAATGAAAAATAAATCCAAAAATGATTTCATATAAAGCAATTTTTCTTATGCATAAAGGAGGATAAATATGTACATTAGCACATATATGTTCAGTCCATGAAAGATTCTAAACGTAGCAAACGTAGCAAACTGAGCATTTCCACAGAAGTGCATCCATAAATGGTTCAATGTATGTATATCGATGAAAAGTCTTTCCTACGTGTATTGCATATTGATTCTGAGAAAACAGAATTCCAAATGATGAATGGTCCATACTAAAGTCTCTTCATATGAAGTGTACACACTCTACAGAACCAGGGGCGGACTGACAACTCATGGGGCCCCCGGAAAATAGGGGATCATGGGGCCCCTGTGTCCTTGCCCAAATTCAAAAAAGCCTATGAAAAAGGTACCAGGGGCATCTCAAGGGGCCCCCTATTCACCCCGGGCCCTCGGGCAGCGCCCGAGTTTCCAAATGGTCAGTCCTCCCCCGTACAGAACATTTTTTAACACATAATTTTAAAAAACTGCTGTGCTTTGCACCAGTTCTTTGAATGTGTTTTGGTTCCTTTTTGCCCATCTCCCGATAACCTGTTGGGTAATACTTTTTCTGTGTTCATAAACCGTACTCTTTAGAAGCCATTGTTTCTTTGCACTCTGTTTATTATGGCTTACAATGGGATGCATTACTTTACCCCCTCTTATAAAACTATTTGGATGTCTGGTATCTGAATGAAAGTGTTTGTGTTCAATCTAACCAGTAGATGCACTTGCAGCAGGTCCGGATCTAGCCTGATCTGATCTGGGGGTACAGTAAAAAAAGGTTAGGGGATACAATGTCAGCACTGTGAGTGAGTCACTGACAGTCTGTCACATGGTGTCATGACCTAGGAAACACTAGTATGTATTAGGTTGTCCCCTTATATCAGATGTCCTTATCATAGCCTACCCTTACATCAGGATCCCCATCAGAGTGTCCCCTTACATAAGGTGTTTCCATCAGCGTGCCTCCTTACATCAGGTGTACCCATCAGAGTGCCCCTTTACATCAGGATCCCTATCAGAGTGCCCCTTTACATCAGGTGTCTCCATCAGAGTGCCCCCTTACATCTGGTGTCCCCATCAGAGTGCCCCCTTACATCAGGTGTCCCCATCAGAGTGTCTCTTTACATCAGGTGTCCCCATCAGAGTGCCCCCTTACATCAGGTATCCCCATCAGAGTGCCCCCCTTACATCAGGTATCCCCATCAGAGTGCCCCCTTACATCAGGTGCCCCATCAGAGTGCTCCTTATATCAAGTGCCCCCATCAGAGTGCCCCCTTACATCTGGTGTCCCCATCAGAGCACGCCATTACATGAATTGTCCTCATCAGAGTGCCGCCTTATATCAACTGTCTGCATTAGAGTGGCTCATGGGTCAGTGGATGCACTCTCAGAGACCTGGGGGGGAAAAACTAAAATTTGTGGGGGGGGGGGGGCACAGCCTACCCCAGCATCCCCCTAGATCCAGGAAAAACTTGCAGTGTTATAATGAGTAAAGTTGTAGTGTCTGAATCCCTTCAAAAGTAATTAACCCTTAGGGAGTATCTTATCAAAATTAAAATTCCTATTGCAGTGGATGCCTAAAATTTGACTTGTACCTTAGTGCCGATGTCTGCGAAAATTGGTGAGCCAATCACACAAGCAGGAAATTACATTCTAGGGGTGTTCTGTACATCAACTGTGTACAGAAGGACTGCAGGTTGACATATGGCTTTGAATTTTATTAACAAAATAATAGTGGCTGCAGATTCAAAAGGAAAGGTCATTTTTAAAAACATTGCATTGTATTATGGCTTGTGTAGCAATTATATTTGATATATATATATATATATATATATATACAGTATATAAATATATTGTAATTTGCTTGATTTTTTCCACAAAAGTAGAGTTACCTTTTAAGTAATATATTAGAGGAAGAAGTAGGGTCTTTTGTTTGTGAGAGTCTGCAATGCAGTATAGTGGGTAGTTCCAGAGTATAAGCTTTGTAAAATGGGATTGTGTGTGTCAGTGCCACATTTTTTCTAAATGTGGCACCGCTAAGCTTTTATGCAGCTGTTCTCTCCATGGGAGGACATCTGGACTTCATCACAGGTAACCTTTGGATGTTCAGATACATACAGATACATGCCTACAGCCACAAACAGCCCTGGCTCCTTCCAGCCTGCCATTTAGTTGAACTGACTCGAACACCTGGGATCCTGGCTGCAAGTATTCCCAGGTAAACTTGCTGAACCATAGTAATTTAGGATATGTGAATAAGGGCTGTGGCAGTGCGGTGTCCTGCCACGGTCAAACTCCAGTTGAAAACCCTGGATTCTCAACCAGGCAGGTTGAGGGGCTCCAGAGAGTTAATGTATTGCAGAGGAAACTGACTTTTCGGTTTCCTCATTTATTTATTAAGTTTGTTTTGGGATCTGGAGCCTGGAGATTTCGAAGAGATCTGGGAGGGATGAAATCTCCAATCCGGGGTCCATGTTTTGAGAACCCCCAGCACACTGATTGCACAGGTGTGTGCAGACCTTTTTGTAGAGGCCTAACCATAGTTCTGGGCTCCACCCCAGCAGTTAGGAGTCAGACGGGCTCCACCCCGGCAGACAGGAGGTCTCTGCCGTGGAGTCAGGTGGGCTACACCTAGGAGAGGTGGAAGCCAAAAGCAGCAAGGGGCTGCTACAGAATAGCTGTGTGCTAAAGGTTCGCTGGGTGCCAAAAGAACCTTTTGGGAAGAGTCTGCAGGAGGCAGACTTAAAACTGGGTACAAGCCAGGAGGCTGAATATTGATTTGCTTGATGATGGATACCCCTGCGTGGGAAGCATTTTTGTTGTTTGAACTTTCTTAAATAAAAGTGGGCAAAAAAGCCCTGAAAAGAAAGCGAGTTGCTGTGTGTTTTGAAGAAGAGCTCTACCACTTGAAGCGAGTTCCCACATATGGTGGAGGATGCGGGCATAATTGGAGATCCCTGCAAAAGTAAGTTCATCAGTTATATGAACTGTGTTTCTGTGCAATGGACAGCACAATTTGGTGTGTGTGCAGGTGAGGAGATCCTGCAGAGAAAAAGGAACTTTCCTTAAAGAGACAGTGCTCCATTGTGTTGCTGGACTGTGCAAAAGTGTTGTGGAGTGACTGCAAAGATGGGGCGGTCAAAACTCAAAGAAGCAAGATTTTCTGAAATGAGAGACAGAGCCCTGTGGCTGGAGGGGTTGTTACCACCAGAACAAGCCCCATACATGGCTGCACAAAGTTTGCCACAGTGGGAAGTGCATGCTGTTGTCCCTGGCAATGCTGCTAAAAGGAAACCAGTTTTCTGTGTGCAGAGTACTAAGCCTGAAAGAGGATGCAGTGTTGGAAGTTCGGCCAAGATACTGCCGCAAGAGCGCTGTTTGCGGTGCAGTGAATGGGGGCACACTGTCTCCAAGTGCCCATTATCCCAGCTTCCAGTACGAGGTGACACAACCAGACAAAGGTCTGGGTATGCAAATGGGAAGCCTGCTTGGAGTTCCAGGAAGGAGCAGCAGGCTGCCCAAAAGTTTCAGAAGAATGTGGTTGCCCATAGCAACACATGTGACTTCAGGCCTGCGGACCCTGTGAGAGAAGTGTCATCTACAGAGGATTGTGGCAATGCAGAGATGAGAGTTCAGCGCATCTGGAGGAACCCACACAAAAATTTCAGCTGGGAGAGTGCCATCTCCCATAGCAACAGGAGAAAGCCTGCCAACCAGGAGAAGGGGCTACAAGGGAGATGTGGTTCCATATCCCAAGAAGGTTGTCGGTGGAACCATACCCTGCCTGGAATGTGGTCAGTTTGGGCATGGTATCTTTACCTGCCCCCGATTATGGAATACCACTGATGAGAGTGCTACTGGGCAAAAGTCTTCATCTGCAAGCCCAGATTCATGTTTAAAAATGTTGGCAGCCACCTCTAGCAACAGTGAGGAAGTACCTGTTGTGCCTACAGGGGGTGCCAAGGAGTCAGAAGTGCCTGCCACAGTATCATCCTGTAGCTGCATGGATGAACTGGCTGGCCAAAGCCAAGCAGAGGAGATGACCGAAAGGATCCAGATCCCACGCACTCAAGTGAAGGTGAAGCCTGTTACAGTGGTGGGTAAGACTGGTACTTTTGAGATAAATGTGAGAGACACTAATGCACTGCTTGAGACTGAACTTGAGACACTCTGCTATAAATTTGGGATACTCCCAGTTGGGAAACCCACTGCTGGTGATCATGAGAGAGACTTGCCTCTGTATAATGCTCTGTTTAGCGGGGAGGCAACGGTTAAAAATGTCAATGTGAAGAGTACTGATATTGGGGTTGCACCAATGTCATATAAACAGAATGGTGAATTAAATGTAGTAGGGGTGACCACTAAGCAGCATGTGTTATCTCCCCTAGCAATGGTGGGTAAGGTAACCCAGGATAACTATGGTGTTGCTCTGGTGGATCAGAGTGTATCTGAATTGAGTGATAAGAATTTGTTATTTCAGTGTGGCAATGGTGAATCTAAAAGGTATGAACGTATTCATAATGATGGGTTAATGCAATCCACTAATGCCAAAGATTTTGTAGTGAATGACACGCCACTAGGTCACGGTGGTGAGAGTAGGAAATTGCAACCTACTGTGCCTAGAAATGGAGTCTCCCAGTGTGATATGGATAATGAAGATGGGTGTGATACAGAGCCACTCTGTCCCTCTGTGTCTCCTTCAGCGGTTGGAATGGTACTGCGTAGTACCTCTGATGGGATCACAGGGAAGATGGACTGGGACAGATGGGCAACAAGCTTGTTGGCATTAATAAAAGATACCTCTGTTGCTAACAATGAAGTGGACACAACTTCTGTGCTGAAAAGAGGGACTGTGGAGCAGCTGTTAGTCCAGGGCGCTCCTGTCGCTCCCAAAATTAACTCACTGCTGGTAAAAGGCACCATTGAGGATAAACACTCAGCAGAAGTTTTGCCCACAGCCCATAAAAGAGTTAATGGGGTAGTATACCAAATTGATATCCATAGAGATGTGGAAGAGCTCATTGACACTGAGCCTCAGAGTATTTGGGTGAATCCCACACCTGGTTACGCTCTGGGAGAGCCCCAGGTTATTGTGTTGGGTACCTCCAGCCGAGAGGAAGCCTCTTTAAGAAGCACCACCTCTGAGGCATCAGTAAATGAGTGTCTCCATGTCCCCAGGAAGGTCTTATGTGTGGAATCAGGCTGTCTTTTTATAACAGACCTGCTGAAGGAAATGTTGGCTTTCTGGAGTGTACAGCCGGTGTATACCTTGCTGTCTCTTCCATGTTCGGGAGAGCTGGTACAGTGGAGTCCCGCTAATCGGAGCTGGGTATTACAGGCTATACAAAACAAAGATGGTCAATATAGGAATTCTGTGATACCATCCTTGTTGGTAATGGTGAAAATTGTCTTTCAGTGCATTGCTGGGTTGCTTCATAGCAGTAATCTGTATGAGAGGCACACCAGAGTACTGTTGGACAGGACAGAGGTTTGGGCAGAAGTGCCGGAAGACGCATGTAAATGTGATGTGGTTGGGGTCGTCTACCCAAATGCAGAATTATGTAAGGAAGGTCACTCTGGAAAAGTTTTCCAAAGGTCCAGTAAACGCCCAAGTTATAAGAATGAAAGGTCTAAGGGAAATGGCCCAAAGCTTAACGAGGGGATGTTAAAAGAGTTTGATGCCACAATAAAAGAGCCCATGTCTGTTACTAAAGGGTTTAAAAATATATCCCCTGTAAAAGTAAATGAAGCAAAAAGGGATGGTCTAGAGGAATTTGAGAGAGCACGTTGTAATATGACAGGTACCAGGCATTTAAAGCTTAGGAGTCAACCCCAGATTACAAAGGGTACTGAGATTTGTAAACCCCCTAGTGGTAAAAGGACTAGCATAGTCTTAAGAAAATTAGAAAGACCGCGCTTTTGGAAGCGCACTCGTAAAAAGGCACGGGGAAGTAGTAGAGCCCAAGTTAGGGGAGACAGGGGAAGTCACCTCTTGGGGCAGGGAGTAGTGTCTCCCTTAGATGAAAATGAAGTCAGCCAGGATTGGACCTTTACAGGTGATAGTCGGCACAGAAGGGCTAAAGGACGGGTTTTAGGTTTGTGTGTTCTGCCCCCTACGGGGTCAAAACAAAGGGGGGGGGATATGTGGCAGTGCGGTGTCCTGCCACGGTCAAACTCCAGTTGAAAACCCTGGATTCTCAACCAGGCAGGTTGAGGGGCTCCAGAGAGTTAATGTATTGCAGAGGAAACTGACTTTTCGGTTTCCTCATTTATTTATTAAGTTTGTTTTGGGATCTGGAGCCTGGAGATTTCGAAGAGATCTGGGAGGGATGAAATCTCCAATCCGGGGTCCATGTTTTGAGAACCCCCAGCACACTGATTGCACAGGTGTGTGCAGACCTTTTTGTAGAGGCCTAACCATAGTTCTGGGCTCCACCCCAGCAGTTAGGAGTCAGGC